TACTTGATTGATTAAAATCATTACTTGATCGATTAATTATTATAATTTCCCTAAATGCACATTCTCTTTAAATGCATATTTATGATCGGTCTCCAGGGGGGTGCACTTAGAGAGGTTTGACTGTAATTTATCTTATAACTGATCAAAAATTATCTGATTTATTTTTATTGATTATAATTAATTAATTAAATATTTAGTATAAAAAATATATATAAATATAATTAATCTTGTAATTATAAAAAATAAGTTATTATTAATTATATTTAAAAGTAAAATATATAATTATCAAGTTACAAAGTTTTTATTCAAAAACTAATTAAATTACTTGATTTTTAAAAATTGAACAATTAATTAATTCTTAAATAGAAATTTTATAACTTGATAATATTATATATTCTATTCTTAATATTATAATTAGCTCAATAACTTTAATAAAATATTATATTTTAATTATATACTTGTAAGTTTAATATTAAATATTTAAATTACTATCTTATAATTTAGTTATTTTAATATATATTCAAATTAATATTAATATTTATTATAAATATTTATTAAATTTAGTTATTTTAATATAATAAATATTATTTATAATTATATATATTATAAAAACTCACTTGTAATACTAATAATTAATTTTTTCTTATAATTATATATATAAATTAAAATAATAATACAATCAAATCTCTGTATAATCACCACTTTTAGAAAAGCAAAATTTGATGATTATAGAGAGAATATGACTGTAAAAAAGTTTTTTATTATATTTATATAAATAGAAAAGCAAAATAAAGTAACTATAGATGAATATAATTATAAATAAACATAATTATAAAAAGATTTAATTGTATCTTGAATTTGAACTTTTTAATTAATTATATTTATAATATATAAATAATAACCAACAAATTTATAAAATTATACATGAAATTTTATTAGTTAGATTTCTCTATATTTACACTTATTTATAGTCATACTCCTTTATAATCACTTTATTTTATTTTCCTATTTATATATAAATATAATAAAAAAATTTTTCTATAGTTATACTTTTTCTATAATTATCAAATTTTACTTTTCTGAGAGTAATAACTATAGAAAAATTTGATTATAATAAAAATTAAAATTTTTGTCTTATATAAAGTTTTTAATTTTATTAATAAATATTTTTTATTTTTATATCAAAATAAAAATTATAAATTATATTTAATATATATTTTTTCTGAATTTTTTAGATTATTTTCTAATAAAGTTATTCTAATTATAAAATTATTACAAAAATTTTTATAATTAAAATATAAAATTAATTATAAAATTTTTGTAATAATTTTGCAATTAAAATAACTTTATTAGAAAATAATCTAAAAAATTCAAAAAAAATATAACTTATAATCTTTATTTTAATATAAAATTTAAAAATATTTATTAGTAAAATTAAAAATTTTATATAAGACAAAAATTTCAATTTTTATTATATTTTATTAATAAAATTATATGTGATTTTATAATTCTGTTAATCACTATATATAATAAATTTTTAAATAATAATTAAATTTATTACTAATATTTGATATTTATTAATTTTATATCTTAAAAATAAATTAATTAATAAATTTATTGCACTAACTATTAAATTATATTTTTGAAATATAAAATATATTCAAAATTTATATATTAATAATAGTGATAATTAAGTAATTAAATCTAAATATACTTTATTGAATTTTATAATATTAAAAAACTTTGATCTTGTATTTTATAATATAAAAAATTAAAATTTTTTATAAAAATTATAAAATATATTATTATAATTTAATATTTCTTATATTTAATTTTATATAATTCTATATATTATTATATTATTACTTAAAATAATATTATTGAATAATTGTATTAATAATTAGTATTTGAAATTCAATTCAATTCAAATTTTAATTTAAATTTCAATTGGAATTTTAGTTTGAATTTTAGTTTGAATTTCAATTTGAATTTTAGTTTGAATTTCAATTTGAATTTTTATTTGAATTTCTATTTGAATTTTAATTCAAAATTTAATTTAATCTATAATTTTATTAAATATTTAGTTTTTATAATTTATCTATAAATATAATATATATTTTAGTATAAAATTAAGTAAGTTAATTAATTTAGATTAGTTAAGTTGAACTTATCTTTTGTTATATATTTCTTTCTTACTTGAATTTTCATGATTTCTTGTATTAATTATAAAGTTATTATTATTATTTAATTTATAATCTCTTATCACTACTATAAAGTTATATTTCTTATAATATTTGTAATTAATTTCTTGTCTATATTAATAAAATTAATAAGTATTTAATTGAATTAATAAAAGAAAATTTGTTTATAAATTAATTATTAAAAGAATATAATTATCTTTGAATATTTTTGGTCTTATTTTAGCTGATCAACAAATAAATATATATTATCTATTTTTAGATAACTTAATAAACTCTCTTATTTTAGCTGACCAACAAATAAATATATATTATCTATTTTTAGATAACTTAATAAACTCTCTTATTTTAAAAGTTATTTATATAAACTCTTTTATCTAACTTTATTTCACATGTTTTACTATGTTTTTTACATGATAAAACTTAAAATTATATAAAATAGTAACTATATTAATTAATTTTATGTATTATATTTATAATTATAAAAGATATTTACAATTCAATTTTAATTAATATTTCTTATTATTTATTTAAAAATAATAATAATATTTCTTAAATTTTATATTAAGTATTAGAATATTTTTTATATTTAGTAATTATCTTAGTAATATATAACTTAAATGAATTTCAAGTCTTAGAATTTCTTAATATATGAGAAATTGTATCTAAATATTTTTTATCATTGAAAATATTTATTTATTAAGCTATTTCAAGCAAGTTATATATTTAATAGCTTTTTTTTAAAAAAATTTTCAAAGTTTGTTATATAATTTTTGCATGTTCAAAATTAGTTTGTAATCTTGAGCATTCATAATTATAATTATATATGTAATAAAATTAACTTTAATCCAAATAAAATTAATGATTATTTAATTAATTTTGTAAAAACTAGATTATTAATAATATTTTAAAATATATTAAAATAAAACTATATTTATTTAATTTAAATTTATAAATTTTCAAATAAATTTATTTTATTCAAAAAAATTTTTTAAACAAAGTGAAATTTTAAATGATTTATTTTATTATTGACCATTTTAATTCTATTACATATAATTATAATAATCTTTTATTAAATTGAATGAATCTATATTTGGCTCTAAATTTATATTAATATGCATAAGTTTCATATACTGATAACATATTATAATATCATCTTCATATGGCTTATCTTTATAATAATTATATTTATTAAAACTTGCATCTTGAAAATATGCATTATAAAAACAGTATTTATAATATGTATTACATGGATCTTCTGGTTTTAATAATGCTTGAAGAGCAATCCTAACGCAGATATCCTACTGAACAGGTATTTTATCCTGATAAATTATGCTAATACAGTCATAAGATCTTTCAGCATTAATAATTCTATTAAGAACATTATGCTCACCAGTTCTTCCAATCCTTTTATTTATACATGTATCATGTTCTGTTCCGGATATATTTAGTAATTTAACGTATTATAAGTTATAGTGTATTTAACGATTATAAAAGTCTTATAGACCTATCAGATTTTGGTTTAATATTGTGAGCAATATATGTATGTGATGAAAATAGGAGAGGTGCATACTTGGTTGTAATATATGAGATGAGAGTGTAAAAAAGGGATTTGTACACGTATCAAATTTGTAATGTTTGGGTTTATATAAAAATCGAATATGCAAGATCGATCTTGAAATATGGATTCATGATCTCCATATGCTATATCTGGTTTGCCTAATTAAAAGAACAATTCAGATGATACCTAACACGCGATTTTCTCATGCATTGCACAACTATATTTGTTTCGGCGCAAATGAATTATTTTTCGATATATCCGGATCACACAACATATACGAAGAATACGCGCTATTTTATTCTATTGGACACAAAGTGCTCACGAAGCGTAAACCTTGCAAGGGAGGGATTGATTACAGAATTTTCATTCAATTTTTGGCACAATTGAATGAGTGAGAGATTTCTAGACCGGATATTCAAATCTATTTCGTTTCGTATCAGTTTGAAGGGATAAATTGCCAATAATGATTTAGAAAAGTAACAATCATTTCAAAAACAAATACTTACTTTTGTCTTTTTTCTTCATTTCAAGACACCTAAAAAATCCTCGATATCTACATTGGCTGTGCGAGTCGTAATCTTATTAAGTCTTAAGAGTTGGTTGCAGATATCTGGAACACCAGCTTGATGTTTCGCCCTTTAAGAAAGGATAATGGATTAATCTGATGCCAAAGAATATAAAATATAGAATTATCTCATACCAAGGCAAGTTCATAGAGACATTCCTGCCCCAAGCCCCAATTGCATGACCATTTGGAAAAATGAATAATATGCTCAGATTCATAAAATCGGTTGCCCCGTTTGCAAGGAGGTTTGCAATTATAGACCCTTGGGTCTGTCCCGCAACACCGTTACGGCAATTTGGAACGTTGGTGTCATTGAAGCCAGCCTGATTCCAATTAAACAAAAGTGCGGGCATTTCGTCGTCAGTGTCTGTCTTTTAAATATTTGAGAACAAGAGTGACAATATCTGTATTTTGAAGAACTGTAGTGAGATTCTCAGGAACTAACGCAAAATACAAATTAATGATTTATAACATCGACATGCATCTACCACACTTATTAAGAAAAAAAGAACAAATACCTTTAACGTGAACGAACTTGCAGGGGTTTGTTTATAGGACATGGATATTTATTGGTCATAATAAATCAATTTTTAATCCGTTAAAGCTGTGGGCATCCAATCACATATTTTTCAGACAAACCATCCATCACACAATCATAGGCGGACTAGCCAAAAATAGTAAAATTGCTTAATATTAGGTTCTCTGCGCCAAAATCCATCCAAAGTTCCCACTTAATTTTTTGTTATAACGAAGGCGTCGCAACAGCTTCTTAACTATGGCTCCTGGGTTACGACTGCTGGCACGCGTCTCGTAGAAGTGAAGTTTCACTTTTTCGCTTTCGTAATAATAGAGAAAAAAGCGTGAAAATCAGAGATAAATAAAATTTATATAGTGCGGGACAGCATAAGATATCCATTTTATTATAGAAGCGCCAAATTTACATAGTGATGCTATGTGCATGACTTGATGCTAGCCAATCAAATAATTTGTTTAATGTTGAGCGCCAATTTTCAAAGATCAAAATTTTATAACTCTTTGAAAATAAAGATCCTTTTATGGAAATGTAGGTTTACTAAAAAGCTATCAATCTGTGAGAGGATTTTTTCATACAATCATTTGTTTTTGAGTTATAAATATTTTCTTAATGCTGTCCCTCACTGTAGGTACGTATATCGATTGATATTCAGATCGCGCAATCTGTGCACGGTCATAACGATCATTTATGTACTACCTAAACTTATATATGATTGGTTAATCAGAAACTTTATTTTTGCTTATAAAAAAGTGCTAAACTTCGAGACCGTGACCCCTGGTCACGGTTAGCATATATCATCACATGTTCGAAGAGAATTTATATCTCTATCTTATTATCTGGGATTGCTCGGAAAAAAAAATGCCAAACTGTGATATGTGACGCAGTAAAGACGATTCTTATTCCAACGTTATCTTGTCCAAGTTAATTTCGAGATTCTCAATACGGTATGTGCTTTTATTACTGTGCTCGTCATATATAATGAGAATGATGTTTTTCCTTATTGTGCTAAAAATTTGCAGATATACGGTTTCATATATTGCAATCAAGTTTACTTAAGACTACTTTATAGAATATCTTATTGTACATGTAATTACTTCAAATTATCTGATCGAATCCTGATAGTACACTATAAATCAATTAATCTAAATGGTAGTTTCTGTATTACATCATGAATATTGATCGAAAACATAAAAAATTTAAATATATATACGAACAAGTTTTTAAGGCAATTTAGTAGCTTAGAGTGTTAAAAAAAGCCAAAAAGAAAATTTTTTAATTAAATTTATAGCATTATATCAAAATTAAAATCGAATAATACTAGCACACTATTTATGTTCCTGTATTTTTCTTAACCTGAGATGCTACATACTTTATATTATCCGAACTTAATTTCGAAATTAAATGTTTTTATTCGTTGGATATACACCATCCGTTGATTTTTATCATTGCTAACACGAAAAAAAAGGCCATAAATCTTTCGAGCTCTTTTTGTTTTTTTTTCGGATTGTAGGTCTGGAAACATCTTTCAGGAGTTGCTCTTTAACTTCGTTATTAACCTTCTTCTGGGCCTCGTGTTCCTCAAGATCTTTATACTGGATAAGATGTTTTTCTAATTCCTCTCCAAAATAGTAATAGCTTCTTAATAGCTCGTGTCGTACTTCATCGTTTTGTTTTTCGGCATTGGAAATTTTTAAATATAAAGCGAAAAAAATCTTATCGGAACTTCCATCGTGCAGATTCTCTTTTGAGAGCTTTCCTTTCCTTAACTTCTGAAATTCGCGAGACATCAGTACTCAATTCACGGATAAGCCTTTTTAATACGATTGAGTCCTCATCCTTAATCTGTTCTTGGCTTTTTTCTGGAGAGTTTTCGGTGGATTTATCCGTAGCTTCATTAGCTCGCTTTTTAAAGCTCTGTTCGGGTCGGGTTTTTGACCCGAAAATTGTAAAATAGTTTTTCGTTAATACCTTTTATTTTTACTAAGACACTTGTATTTTGTGTCTTAATTAGAGTTATTCGGAATGCGATTGTGTATATATCCACAAATTTTCGGATTTGACCCCGATCCGATCCGAAATGTGCGTTCCGGGTCGGGTCACGGATTGGACCCGATCCGGTTGGAGCACTATCGCTTTTTACTGGTAGAATCAGATTGGGCTTCGACTCAGGATTACTTTTCCTCATCTTCCTCCTCTTCTTCATCCTCTTCTTCATCCTCATCTCCATCATCCATCTTGATCCTGGGACGAAATTTTGAGAAAACTAATTCCAATATTACGGGTAAATTTATTGATTAGAGCCAAAGTTCCACTTGAGTGAGAAGATATAGAATCTCTTCTTGGAGTTTCATTAATAAGCTCAACACTTTTTTCACACTTTGGAAAGGGATATATTTGGTACCATAAGCAGAATTTTTTTCTCAATACAAAGTCTATAAAAAATATGATCACATGGCAGCACAATAAATGATTCATAGGTATTCGATAAAATTTTTTTATTACATTCTGAGCATTGAGATAGTCCTATAATTTTGACAGCTTGAATGATGCTTTCTTCCATTTCTTTTAGGATATTATACGCAAGAGCTTTGAGATTAGAAAGAATCATAATGACGAATGTAAATAGATAATGAGTTTCCTACATATCCCTATCTGTTTTTATAGCACATTAGTCTATATTATATAAAGAATTCAAAATTGGTATACAAATCAAAAGAATTATACATCTCTAATTTGCATATCTTAACAATACTGAATAAAATAAAATTACGTTATGTAAATTCTTGTACCTCATTAACACATGTCAAAATTATTTATTGAAAAAAGATAATCTTTTCAGTCTTATTGTTTTATTGATACAATATGAGGTGAAAAAACTATCTATCCCATTACTTTTTGGTAATCTTTTTTATTCTAGCTCTTTTACTGATTGGTGAGTTATCAACTATTATCTGATCTTTTAATAATTCCTATTATCTTTTTCACATTGCTTTAAAGCATATCAAGATTTTTTTTGATTGCAGTTTTTGAGATCTGGTATTTACTTTCACTGATACAATAATGTCTATCAGTTATAAATATAATAAAATGCCATTTCATAACTAGAAATAAAAAGATGAATATTAATATTAATATTGTTAATTACAAATATACGAACACAAAGTTTTTGACTAATCTTTCTATTTATAATGATAAGTTATATCTATAAAAACTATTCTGTAGAGATAATTATAGTTATCATCTCATTTTTTCTTATTTGTATAATATGCACTGTTATGAATAGGAACATTCAGATAGTCGTATTATTATTATAACTTCTATAATTTCTATAATTCCTATAAATTCTATAATTATCATAATTTCTACCATGACAGTAATTACTGTAATTACTGTAATTACTGTCATCGCTGTC